ATGGTGACATTGGCTATTGCGCGAATCAACGAGTACAAGCTGAGAGTACATGGTATCGAAAGAGTCACCGGCGGTAATTAGTGCAAGTCGAGCCAAGGTCAAACATCACCTTGTGGTTTTCATTGGAAGAGCGCTTTGGATTGTGGGAAAATCAACGTTTATCAATACAAATGTCGCACATGCGCGGCGCGACGACCACTGCCTTTTAAAGCGGAAGAGTCGTCACCTGCACATGCGGCAGACGGTCATAGCGTGACGTTGTTTTTCAAACAAGCGTCTACCCATGAGCCTTTTCGTTTTAAGCATGCGTTGTTATCGTCGCTTGGGAATCAATTCAGGCGCCTGCGCAGGTGACGACCCCTACGCTTTAATGTGAAGTCGTTTATCCCATATTAAGAGTTGTTGGTACTTTTATCTTATATACCATACCTAAACCAGGTCACGGCATATATCCATGGAAAGTCTACAAAGCTCATTGGCCGATTCAAGACAGCCGTAGTATAAATATACGTGACTCCAGGCTGTGAATGTTTCAGTTGTACACGTTGAGGGCGACATTACAGTAGTTCAGAGAAATTGTTGTATTTTGACAACATGGAATGTAACCATGTTATATTGTTTTAATCTAACATTACTAATGTGACACTAGAACTCAAAATTAAACCTACCAAGTATTTGTTTAACTATTCCAAGAAACACCAAATTTGTTGTATTTAGCATCCGAAGCTCGCAAAAATATTGCCGAAGTTAGGGAAGCCGATCATACAAGCTTGTACCATCGCTACTTTAAAGCGGAGGAGTCGTCACCGGCGCATGCGTCAGACGGCCATAGCGTGTCATTGTTTACAAACAAGCGTCTACCCATGAGCCTTTGCGTTTTTAGCGTGTGTTTTTATCGTACGCAGGTGACGACCCTCTCGCTTTAAAAAAGTTTGTTTGATATTACATCTTATTAATATAAAACACTGAGATATGATTAATCGCGAAATATAAATAAGTGTATAAGTGCCATGAATATATTATTGTGATAAAATGAGACCCGGATGTCAGTTATACAATACTTACAATATAGCATAATGCACCACAGTGTTATCATGGGATATGGTTGTCTAAGTTACGCTTCACAACGCTATGGCGTCATTGATACTAAACATAAGTATCTTTTGAAAATTCGTTTCAATTGTGTTTTATGATCGAAAAAACGGAACACAAGTAAGAAAAAAACTAAGCCTCGACAAAAAAGGGGCGATGAGGCGATTTTTTTATTTGCCAACATACTGTATTTGACAGTTCTCAAGTTTTGTAGGTTTACTCCATTCGTCAACAGAGGGCGCTGTGAAAAATCTGAACGTTTTTAAAGTTCGCACGCTGACCAGAAACTACTTTTATTATGATGACATCAAATCATTTTGGAAATAACTAGTCCCAGGGTTTATTTTATTTTACCCCGGACAGGCCCAGAACGTTTCGCTGTAGTTTGATTTTGATTTGCCGATTATGAGCATAATAACAATAATAACGATATAATATAATAGCAACAATACACGACATTACACAGCCCACGGCTGTATATATATA